CCAATATTGAAACCAAATCTCTCGACACTATTTGAAGGTAGGCTCTAGATTGATTGTTTAGAGCCTAGGCTGTATACAAACCGCACCCATAAGAGAATAATGAGGAAACATTTTTATGATGTAATTGTCTTCTCCAAAAACATTTTATGATGTACCAATTTGATATATCGTCGGGTGCATGACATGTTGCCTAAAGTTTCGTTGTTTGTTCATAATCTACTAACAACTATAATATTTATAAAATGTTAAGTCGTTTAGTGTTGTTCTTTTTATTTTAATGTTAATCTGTATGATGCTTCTCAATATGTCTTCATATTGAATAGAATGAATTTCCAACAGCTGGGGTCAGCATTTGATTGTGCTCCAATAGAGCGTAGAAGTTATATATCCATCTCTTTTTCTTTCAAGACTTGCGGCATATGTGCACTGAGAAAGAATAAATACTCATTTTGACTAAATCACTTGATCAAAGTAGTCTAGATTTCAATTTTATTATATACTCTGCAGTCTATGTACAAGAAAGGTCCTGAAATAATTTTATTATGAGATATAAGAGTGTCTTCCTCGTTTACATGAAAACTTTGGTAGAGCACTTAATACACATTGATTAATACTCCTTTTGTAGTGAGCTTGACAAATTAGTTTTCTGAAACTATTAAAGCAAGCTATTGGAGCTTTAATTTTGTCGCAATGTTTTCCCGAAGTTCCTAGGAAATAATAGATTTTCTGTTTGCTGCATATTCAGGTAACCCTTGTGTAAACCTTTTATTTTTAATACATTCTGTCAGTCTGATTTCCAATTAATTGTTATGAAAATCACAAGAAGGTTGGGCATATTTCACCTTTTCTATTAAGGAATGGGTATCCTTAGGCAAATTTTTATGGTACAATCCTACATTAGAATATGTCAACAACACCATTGGCTTTTTGTTTTTAATTGAAATGCTGACTTATGAAATCGTTTTTTGGAATTGCATATTGATATTGGGTTCCATACTGGATGCACAAAGCTATTGAAATTTTGTATATTTGTTTATTTATTTATTTATTTTTACGAAAGATGGATGAAATAACTTTTATGAGGCTAGAGACGTCATAAATGCAAAGTAAGAACTTTGCAGGGATGCTTAAGAATCTAAAGGTTTTAAAATTAGCCGAACTATGACATAATATATGAAATGCAAATTTAGTTATAATAGGAGCAGAAACAAGGAACTAGTAAAGATTGATGGGCAAGTAATATCTAAAAGTTATTATTTTAATATCTTCGATTGATAATCCATAATAAAAGAGAGATTGAGAAAGATGTTGCTCATGGAATTAGAGCTGGGTGGATGAAGTGACGATGTGCTTCTGGAGTCTTATGTGATTGTCGCATACTAGTGAAATTGAAGGGGAAGTTCTATAGGTTGGCTGTAAGACCAGCTATGTTTTATGGGACGAAATGTTGGAGGTCAAGAAATGACATATCTATAAAGTGCGTGTTGCTTAGATGAGAATGTTGAGATGGAGTGAGAAGACAAGGAATGATAGAATTTTGAATGAATGCATTCGAGGAACTTAGGGGTAGCTCTAATAGGAGATTAAATGGGGGAAAGTAGACTTAGGTGGTCTAGTCATGTGCAGTGTCGACCTAGAATAGCACTAGCAATGTTAAAAAAGGCGGAGGCGGCTAGGAGCCCTGACAACCTAAGCATCTGGGTGGCTGCCTAGGTGGGCACCCAAATACCTAGGCGTCTCTGGTGGGGTGGGGTGGGGGGCCATATGTTTTGTGTCTATATATAGTGTGTGTCTATACGAGTGTGTGTGCGCACATGCATATGCATGCATGTGAGGCCGCTCATGAAATACTTAAAAGATCATCTTATTCTTTTCCTTATTTTTTATTTCGTGTAATAAGAGAGATGGAGCATATGGACTTGTGTTTGTGAGAGAGAGGTCTTGAACACTTGGAGTATGCTCTTCTTTTTCTTCTTCTAATATGTAGAGAGAGAGAGAGAGAGAGAGAGAGAGAGAGAGAGAGAGGACTAATAGTCTTTAAGTTTTCTTTCTTGTCTAGTGTTGTTTTCTTTTTTTTACTTTAAGGGTCGGTACGTAGTACGTACGGGGTCGTA